CTTTAATACTCAACCCACCAGCAAAACATCACTCAAGCTGTCACCAAGGAATGCTACTGGAATATATGCTTCCCTGCTTGAGGCTCCAGTGCTATGGGCTGGTAGGCTTTGCATTTACTATGCACTATTGAAGACTGGTTTAGCTGGATCTCAGGCTAACCCACTTGTCTCAGGTTATACATTTTTTTTTTGTCTCAGGTTATGCATTTATTTATCATGATTGAGTCTTCATTGTTTCTCAAGTGCTGATTCCTTTTGGGTTTTAATTATTTGTTATTATTATTTTTTGGTTAGGTCTGGAGATTGGTGGTACTATTGGTGAGTCTGGTGATTTGGGGTTCTCTAAGTGGTTGGAGAATATTCAAGGGAAACCAGGTTTTTGGCGTTTCTTTCTCCAATCTCTTTTTTTCCATTGTCACTCCATTTTCTTCATTTCCTCTCTCAGGGATGTTGATAAGATTTGGAAATGTAAGAACAACATATAGATAAAATTGTTTAATTTTCTTAACATTTGGGATATGAAAGTTGAATGAAAGAAAAAATGTCATGATAGGCTGAGTTTATTGTGAAAGAAATAACCAGATTGATTGTGTATAACTCACTTGGAGATTTGAGAGAGTTCATTATTCAGATCTTTGTGCAATTGGTTAAACATGTTTATGAAGAATTTTTGGCTGAATATTTTGTGTGTGGCAGAATTGTTGGTAGAAGTTATCAGAAGCTTTTATTGTTATCTTTTTATTTATTTATTTATTGAGAATGTATTATTAAGATATCAAGTTAATTGTTCAACTTGTTTTAATGTTCAAGATATGAAATTTAATGGTAATAATTTTTGGATAATAGCTGCATATGGAAAAAAAAAAAGAACAATGTTTTGCTGAACAGAGTAGGACAACCATTTTTAGATTAATATAACACACTGTTCAACCGTTATTCATCAATGCACCAAAGATTTCTTATCATAACACTAAGGAGTTCAGCTTTTAGTCCATTTTTTTTATATGGTCCATCATAAAGGTAGAGAAGGAATGCTAATAACTATAAACTTGTGGAAAGAGTTGGTAATTAAATGTAGTTTACAAATGTGTGAAAAGGCTTCATTTGTTGTCATTGTCTTCTTGTTTCAAAGTGCATTAAAAATGAAAGGTTGTACAAGGCTTATTCTTGTGCCCCAGTAGCCAATTACAGATACATACTTAGCCATTATACATGCCAGATATTTTAGACCATATTGTGGCTGACTATGAACCACAGACATGCCATGTACCCCTGCAAACCAGTGTCAAACAGGTGTCTGACAAAGGCATGCCTCTGACAGGGCAGGAACGTGTTGGACATGTGGGGTCAGTAAAAAAGGATAAAAATCAAACATGGTCAAGACACATCTAGACACTT